GGGACATGGGCGTGGCTATGGGCCGGGGTGGAGGGGGGGGCTCCGAAAATGAGCCCCAGCCCCTGCCCTCAGGGCGCAGTTCATCTGTGAAAACACGCGAGAAAACAAGGAGGTATAACTGGGCAGGGCGATGGGAGATCAGGGAACAGAGTCGATTTACATTTACACGGTCTCCCAAAAATCGCCAGAGGGGGCATCTGAGCTGTGATTTGAAGGGTGGTTGGGGCCGATAGGTGGGGGCCGGAGAAGGGGAGATGGGGCCAAGAGATTGCAGGTGGAAGAACTGCATGCGAATCTGTGGTGGAAATTAGCACAGGTAACTCAAGCGCTTAGAAGAGTGACTCCCAGTATGTGCTGTGTCCTGATTATTTCACCAACTAACAGTCCCCAGCACTCAGCCTGGGAGGGCAGCCAGGCCCGGGTGCAGAGGCTCTGAGACTTGAATGCTGCCTCTTTCCTCTACACCAGGCCATGGCGGTGCTGACGGACCACCCCTACGCCTCCCTGACCCTCCCAGATGATGCAGCCGCTGACTGTCTCTTTCTGCGTCCTGGGTTGCCTGGTGTGCCCCCTTTCCTCCTGCACCGTGGAGGGGGGGACCTGCCCAACAGCCAGGAGGTGAGGCGGGGAGGGCAGAAGCTCCACCAACAACCACCAGAGAAAGGCATCTCAGGCCTTCGTAGGAGGAGGAGGGAGGGAGTCCTTACCTGGAAGCCTGAGTGGGACCGTTCTGATCTGGCTGCAAGGGGTGTGTGGTTGTCTCACTCCCATCTCCCCATCCCATGTCCTCCCTGCAGGCACTGCAGAAGCTCTCTGATGTCACCCTGGTCCCTGTGTCCTGCTCTGAACTGGAGAAGGCAGGTGCTGGGCTCAGCTCCCTCTGCCTGGTGCTCAGCACACGCCCCCACAGTTGAGGGCCTGGCCTTGGGGTCTTGGCTGGTCAGGGATAGGGCAGTATAGGGAGTAGAAGGGGAAGGAGGATTAGACAAAGGATGGTGAATAGTGGGAACAGGGTCCCAAGGTAGGGGGGGGCATAGTGTGGGGAAAAGGAGAGAGATCATTGGGTGAGTCTTCTCTCCCAGAACTAATAAAATAGAACTGACCTTTCCGACTGGGCTGTGGCTGCTGTTTTACTGGGGCAGAGGGACAGGGGCAGGGTTGAAACCTGAGGTTGGGGATAGTGAGGGAAGGAGGCCTCTTTCATTCCTCAAACCCTCATTAGGCACTCGCTGACTCATTGCCCAGCCCTGTGTCATAGGTGCTCGGGTGCAAGCATGTACAGGGCAGAGGAGAGAGAGCATGGGTGGATTACTTGCTGAATTTATCTAAAGCTCAGATGACTCAGAGATTGGCAGATTACTAACCCACCCATCGTTGTTGATAGGAAGAAATAACACTTGCAGAAATACTCATTTTTGTTCACTCATTTACTGAGGCTTAGCAGTGCTATGAAAAGGGCCATCTCCTGATATCAGGGAACTCACAATTCTTGAACATTGTTTTCAAACAGAAAGACAGGTTGTGATGGAACAAGTCACAGGAGACTGTTGCTATGAGAGAAACAAGGGGACTCCCAGGGCATCAAAATGTATGCAGGGTGGCAAGGGATCGGGAACGGCTTCCGGAAGGCTGCACTTGAACTGAGTCCTGAGGATGAGTAAGAACTAGCCAGGCAGGTAGTGGAGAGGAAGGAAAAGTGTAATCCATGAAGAAGGCATCTTTGCACCGGACAAAGGCATACAGCACTTGGGGCCTGCGGGCGATTTCTCCAAGGCTGGTGTGTGTATGTGATGTGACAGACATAAGCCTAGCGAGTAGACAGAGTGCTGCAGTTCCGTGTACCCAAAGCCAAGGCCCCTGGGCCCAGGGCTGACGCTTAAGGAAGGAAATACTACAGATATGAAATACAGGCTGTCAGAAGTAAGTTAGTATTTGGGAAGGATCTACCTGCCTTCAGGGAGGAGGGCAAGGGAAAAAGGATGAGGTGGGTTTCTGGGTAATCCAGGAAATGAGGAGCATACATTCGGGTGGCAGTGCTGGGCATGCAGAAGGGTGTGGATTTGACAGTGATGTTAAAATAGAACAGAAGGACTTGGTTCATTGTGGGACAGGAAGGACGCTGCATGACTCAGTTTCTGGCCTGGGCAAGAGGGTTGATCAAGAGGGAATACAGAGGAGGATTGAGTGAGAGGTTTGGAGATGACGATGAGTTTTGGACATGCTGTATGACAATGTGTAGGGCCAGATAGACAGGGATGTCTGAGGGACAGTTTGGAAATCCCTCAGCTGGCATCTGAGCTGGAGAGTTCTGGGTGTCATTTGCCAAGGTGAGGGCTGAGGCCACTGTGGATAACTTCCCAGAAGAGGAAGATAAAGGGACAGACCTAGAATGGTGGGGAATACCGTGGCGGTAGGGAGAAAGGAAGAGGAGTCCAGAAGGAAGACATCAGCATTAATGAAAAACAGCTTTGCCCTAACCGGTTTGGCTCAGTGGATAGAGCGTCAGCCTGCGAACTGAAGGGTCCGAGGTTCGATTCCGGTCAAGGGCATGTACCTTGGTTGCGAGCACATCCCCAGTAGGGAGTGTGCAGGAGGCAGCTGATCGATGTTTCTAGTTCTCTCTCCCTCTTCCTTCCTCTCTGTAAAAAAATCAATAAAATATATTTTTTTTAAAAAAAGAGAGAAAAACAGTTTAAAGAAGGGAGTAATCAAAAGCCAAGCCAGATGAATGCTAAAGAACGTCTGCTGGGCGTGGCCATTAGCACCTCACCGGCAGCCTCATGGGAGCAGCGTGCAGAAGAACATGGAGGAGACAGGTGTAACCCCTGGTTCAAGGAGCTTGACTGGAAGGGAGGGAAGAGATGGAGCGACTCTCTTGGAGGGCTGAGATGGGAAACAGGTCTCGGTGAGCTTTAGAGAGGGCACCAGTGGTAGAGGAGACATGGAGGGTATAGGAGGCGGGGTAGCTGAAGGAGCAAGATCAGTGGCAGAGACAGCCTGGAAGCCAGGTCTCCTGACTCCCAGTCTAGTGCTCATTTCTATCCTATGGTGCCTTCATTTCCCGGGGAGAGTCGAAGAGGGAGAGGGTAGTTCTGGAGAGCTGGAGCCCCCAGCTTGTGAAGTTTGGAGTAAGGGCTTTCCTTCAAACGACAACCGCATAGATGGTGGAGGAGTCAGCAGGGACCACCGGGGGCAGCCGGCAGGGCTGGCTGAGGGCCACACGATCCAGGTCTGCGTAGAGCAGGCTCTGCAAGGTGGGGAGGAGGGCAGTGTCTCGGAAGTCTGGTTCCTTAGTAATCCAGGCCTCTGTCTCTCTCGGTCCAATTTTCTCAGGGATCCTGGCCGGGGCCCCTCCCATCCCCAAGCCCTCACCGACTCCTGGTCCAGGTCCCCCGCAGTCTTGGGCTCCGCGGCCTTTGCTGGTCTCTGGGGCTCGGCTTTCACTCGTGGGACTATGTGAGGGGGACAGAGCTGAAGGATTGAGAGAAGGTGACCAACTTGTCTGCTCCCTGCAAGGGCTCAGACTCGGGAATTGCGGGGTCGGGATGTGCGGGTAGGAAAAGGAAAAGGGGTGGGGTTAGGCTCACCAGGTCTGGGGAGTGGCCGCGGCGGGCGTGGGGGCGAGCGCCTGTCAGGGATGTGGAACAATCATCGCCTTTAAGAGCCACCAGTGTTGTCTCTCTGGTTCTCGGCGGCTCCGGGCCGCGCCCACCACCACCCTGCGACTTGCAGGTTCGGTCGGCAGGAGGACGCAGGCTCCACCCCACGGGCGGTTCCCTCCCCGCTCGGATCGGCCTCAGCCGAGCTTCCCCAGCCAGGGCTCCACCCACCAGCCGGTGGCCTCACCCCGTTCTCCAAACCGAACCACACCCCAAGGCTCCAGATCTAGCTTTTGTCTTCGGAAACCCGCCCGCCTCTGGCCGCGCCCCTCGAGCTCACCTGCGCTGCCACCAGACCGCACCCAACGCTCCTAGTCCCAGCACCAGCCCGGCGCCCAGCAAGAGGATCAGGAGCTGCGGATACACGGACCCTGGGGGAGCGGGGAAGGGCGTGGGCAGCGGTTCGAGGGCACACAGCTAGCTCTCCCTCTCAGGAATCCCAACCAAGGCTCCTCTCCCCGTCGGGAGGTGTCCGCTTGAAGTCCCCCTGCGCGCGGGGGCTTCGACCTACCCAGGCTGGGCCCGGACCCCCTGCAGTCGGCCGCGTCCCCCAGCACGTGGAGCACCGTGTGGCTCTCGTCCTCGTGGCGGCCCTTGCAGATGAAGGTGCCCGAGTCTCCTGCGCTCAGAAGCAGCTCTAGCCGCCGGATACCAGGGTGGTCCAGGACTCGTAGGCGGCCGGCAAAGGGCTGGGCAGGAGACACGGTGGGGGTCCCGCTCGAAGACGCCCCCAGGATCCGGCGGCGTCCTTTGGGCAGGCCCTTGCAGGCCGGGAAGCTAGGCGCCCAGACCCAGCGGATGGGCTGGGAGACCCCTACGCAGGAGAGATTCACCCGGTCCCCGGGACGGCCGTCCAAGGAAACTAGGGAAGGCAGAGGCGGGGGTGGTTAGGGCAAGTCCACAGGCGAGGAGACTCCCCCTCCCCTCCCCTCCCTCCCCTCTCCCACCGTCCTGGGTCTTCCCACACACATCCCGCTCCGCAGTCGCCCCCGCCCCGGCCTCAGACTTGCCTCGCTCATGCTGATTCCCCAGGGACAGCTTGCCCCCGGGGTCCCCCTGAGCCCTCCACAGCAGCAGCAGCAGTAGCTGCAGAACCAGGGCCATGGCTGGGATGTGGTGGGGAGAGGAGGCGAGTGAATCAGCGGAGGAGACC